AAATATATTATTATTATAATAATAAAATAAAATAATTAAATGTTATTTTACCAAAAAATATACATTAGCTTGGCCCAAGCCCACGACCCATGATCATGACGTGACATGACAAGCCGGTCGGACGCCGACAGCGACGTGCGCGTGTGGGCTTTGGCTTAATCTACTAGCATGTAAGTTCTCTCCCCCTCAAAGACTATTGGTACCCCTTAGGGCCCAAACCCAAGTCCTAAACTTGAGCTATATAAGGTGGTTTATATTCTTCTAGTTTTCCTATGTGGGATTGATATTTTCCAATTTTCCATCTATTATATTTCAACATCAAGTGGGCATATTTTGACCTTAATTTCTCATTCACCCTAAATTGGTTTTGAGAAAATAAATATACCATATTAATCTACTCATGGAGTAGAACACATTCGGCCAAAGAAATCTTATTTCCGATCAACAGGACCCACTAAATTAATTGGTCAAAAGTTGGTCAAACCAACTAATTAAAACCAATTTTTCCAACATTGTCTTCATATAACTGAAATTTCTTGATGTGTAGTTTCTTCAGAGCTCTAGCACCTGTTTTCTGCAGCGTGTATGGTGCATGGATCTAGAAATTATTGTGTTTTAGATCTCCAAGTAGATCTAGCAATAAACACAACGAAGTGATGAAAATAATTCGCATGTTCAACCCCAAATTAATAGTGAAATAGGCTTAGTTTGTTGTTTGATTCATAGACTAGTGGAAAAGATTTTTATTTTTTATTTTTTTTTAAATTGTGAATGAGATTGAGAGCACTGAACCACTTTGAGTACATTCTGTTTATTCCAGGTTACTTTGTCAGGATTACTAAATTTCATTGATGGATTGTGGTCGAGCTGTGGGGATGATCGGATCATTGTTTTCACGACAAATCACAAAGATAAGCTCGATCCAGCCTTGCTGCGCCCTGGTCGTATGGATGTGCATATTCACATGTCTTATTGCACACCATGTGGGTTCAAAATGCTTGTTTCTAATTATCTTGGTATCACAGAGCACCCACTTATCATGGAAGTCGAGCAAATGATAGGGACAACCAAGGTGACCCCAGCTGAAGTAGGCGAGCAGTTGTTGAAGAGCGATGATCCTGAAGTTGCACTTAGAGGCCTGATTGAATTCCTCGAGAAGAAGAAGGAAAGTGAAGAAGCTAAAGCATTCAAAGAAAATCTTGAAGTAACTAAAGTAGAAGGTTTGTCAAAGCCAGAGAAGGAAAAAGATGGTGCGAGTCGTGATATGAAGGACTCTCAGAGTCTCGAAGGCCTTAAAGGACTTATCGAGATGGTTAAGGCATCTCCTGCAAATGCACGAGATCTAGTAATGAAGAGAGACAAGGCTTCGATTGCACTGAAAGGTCTGATTGAATTCCTTGAAGAGAAACACGGGGTTGAAGATATCGAAGCTTCTAACACAAACTCTCGAGAATCGACTTCTGCTGAAGTGCAAGAATCCCGTAAGGAAGGTGAGATTTAGACAAGCGCAATATGAAGGTAGATCTAACTGAAATATATAAATTATTTCAGTTTTTATACTTCAGTTGAAAATTTTACACTATGCAAGTCTTTGATATTTCCTTTTGTTCTAGGTTGTCCGAATTAACCTTCCCCTGCCTTCCCCACCCCCCGCATGCCGCCCACACTACATATACTATTGCAAGAACAGAGTACCCCATGATCAATCCAATACTTAAAAAGATCCACAATAAAGCAAGTGTCATTATTCACTAATCCACTTGGCCTCTGCCATTGAGTTGCATATCTAAGAAGACGATTATGATTTGTAGGAGAAACGAGTTCTAATTACTTTTCATGAATATAGAAAGTATTGAAGAAATGGTCAAGAGCAAAATATAGGCAACATAAACAAAGGTTAGGATGAAGATGAAAACAATGGTGGAAAACAGCGAGAGATGTGCATGCATATTCACGTCTCCTAGCACTCCCCGTGGTTTCAAAATGTTTGTTTCTACTTGGTATTACGTAGCACCCACCTATCATGGAAGTCGAGCAATTGATTGGGACAACCAAGGTGACCCCACTAAAGTAGGCGAGCAGTTGTTGAAGAGCAACAATCCTCACGGTAAATGTTAAGGGATAAATCTCACATCGAATAAAGATGATGACATAGGTCAACTTATGAAGAATTGTACTACTTTTAATAAAGTTCTTTTAAAATAAATCTCCAAGTATTTACATGCTATTAGATTCCATTAAGCTCAAATGAGCGATTTGATCCGATTATTACTCAGAAAAATGAGCACGTGTGTTTTAAGATCGATTTGTTCAATCGAGCCATCATTTTGTGTGGGCACGGTAAAGATAAATTTCACATCGAATAAAGGTAATAACATAGGCCAACTTATGAAGAATTGAATTATTCCTCTCAATAAGATTGACATTTTAAAATAAAATCCCGTGTATTTTACATTAAGGACATAGATGCTTTAATTGGTCTAACGGAGAGGTGAGCAGCAACACATCCATGGCCACCGCCAATTATCCTAACAAGTATAACCTAGGAACCAAAGTATGTTTTCACGTGGCATTTTTCCGATTGTTTTATCAGTTCATGTGAGTAACGTGATCTCTATAGAAGAGAGAGGTGTAGAGTAAAACGAAGATTGGTCATAGAGTTGATGATGATCTTGTTGCTTTAGATCCTCCAGTAGACGTGATAATGAATCGAGCTAAGTGAAGAAAAAGTACTCATGTAGCCGATATTTATTAGGAATCGAGCTTAATTTGTTGTCGTTGTACTAGTTGCTTTGCACCAAGAATATTTTCTGTGAAACACAAGTTGCTATTGATATTATTATCTAGCACGAGTGGCTGACGATTTTGTAGTATTTGTAGCATTAATGCAGTTTCTTATTCACCAGTCTTTAAAATAGCCCCAATAGAAAGATGAATCATTCTTCTTGTTTCGGCCATTCAATGCCTTGAGATTAGTTCACTCTTAAGAATTATTGGCATGTTTACCAGAATGGAGTTCAGACTAGCCATTTGTCTTCATATTATAGAATTTCTTGATGTGTAGTTTCCACAAATCAATTAAAATTTTAAAAAAAAAGACAGAAAATAAACAACTTCCACGACTATTTAATTACGATTCTGTACACACATGTGCACTGGAATATATATTTGAATAGGTTAGGTGTTCAAGATTCCAGCTTATAAAAAATCTGTTCTCCAATTAAAGGAAAATACTGATTGTACAGGGGAAAAAAAGATATATAGAAACCTTACAGACCCTCTGATGAGATGAATTAAAATATTGTAAAAAATAATCCACTCACTGTTGTTTGTGTGTATTCTGTACCAGTTCTGTACAAAAATGTTCTGTACGTGTAGACTAACTCCCAATTAAATGGTGGGATGCTATGATTCGTCAGTTAAGTTGCGTAAGTTAGAATACAAGTTGAGTTTTAAGGATAAACGAGTTCTAATTATTTATCTTGTATATAAAAAGAATCAAAGAAATGGTCAAAAACAAAATTCAATGAAAAAAGCTACACAGCACCCGTAACACTAAGCAAAAAGTCGTAAAGCATTTTACTTGGAAATTCAATTGTGGATGCGGTTACCTTTCTACCCTCTTTTCCAAGTCGAATTCTAACTAAAGGTACTTTCATAAATCATTAAGTCAATGGAAAATTACAGTCGAGATACTAAACATTTTATTTATTAGTAGACTTTATTCAAATTTTTCATTTGTGCCACCATGAGTACCCGAATATTTAAAAAATTTGCAGCTCAAGTCCAAAATGACAATTTTCATTAAATTGACTACCAAAATCGTCAATTGACTCTCAAAATAAAAACTTTATTATTTTCCCCAAATAAGGCTGGGGCATTTTGAATAAAATACATTTTTTCAATTAAATAAAAAAAATCCAAAACCCATCCCCATCTCCTTCTTCCCCATAATCAAAGCCACTCTACCCAATCGCCACAACCACGTCGACAGCCACCACTACTCACCCATCACCTGTAATCAAACCAGTAATGCACCAATAATCAATTGCTTCTCTTCGATTTTTCGATTTTTTTCATCTGAACATGACGCCCCCAAAGAAATCGTGGAGTCGAACCAAGATTCAAAGCCTAAATCCGAATCTAGCATCAACGAGCCTGAAGAGAAGAAACAAGTCTCCGCTAAGGTCCAAGATGTAACCAATAAAGGAACAAAATTAAAAATTATTATACTTTTTGTGGTATCAAAATAATGCAATTATTTCCTAGTTTGTCTAATGCACATTTGAAATCTAAAGAAACTCCCCTGCATTTTGTTTATTGGGTAGCTTTTGAAGCTCATTTTTTAAGATCTAAAGAAAATTTGTAATACTTGCCATTCTTTCATATTCTCCCTTCTCCGCGGCCAGCTAGGGCCTGCGGTTGTACTGGAGGAGGGAGTGGACAGTGAGGGTTCTAGGTTTATTCTTGAGGGTTTTGGGGGAAAAGGGATGGCAATATAGTGGAGAGTTTTTGGAGCTCGTGAGAGGTTGCAGAGATATCATTACTAAGCTTTAATGGTGATGTCGATGTTAGGTGGGTAGTGGTGGCTGTTAGCGGTAGATGTGGCGATTGGGAAGAGTGGTTTTGATTTTGGGGAAGAAGTAGATGAGGATGGGTTGTGGATTTATTTTTTGTTTTTTTTTTAATTTAATAGGAAAATGTGTTTTATCTAAAATATCCTTGCTTTATTTGGGGAAAATAGAAAAAAAAATTATTTTGGGAGTCAAATGACGATTTTGGTAGTCAAACTAACGAAAATCATCATTTCGGACTTGAAATGTAAATTTTTTAAAGGTTTGATATTCATAGTGGTACAAATGAAAAGTTTGGACAATGTCTGCTAATAAACGAAAGATTTGATACCTTAACTGCAATTTTCCCTTTAAGTCAGTGGAAAAAGGCACTATCAGCCGAAAGAACGAAGTCGCCAGGAAAAAGAGAGCAAAAGTGTTGCCTAAAGTCTCTCTTCATTCATGTCATTTTCCAGTTCTAACCAACGTATCCCTCACTCAATACTAAAGACTAGTGCCCTTTAACCTCATTCGCAATCCCACCATTCTTACTTGCATCCATGGGATCATTTTCCAGTTCTAACCAACGTATCCCTCACTCAATACTAAAGACTAGTGCCCTTTAACCTCATTCGCAATCCCACCATTCTTACTTGCATCCATGGGAAAAAAATAAAAAAACCCATCAAAATTCGTATCTTCTTTTCAAATTTGTGTTTTTTGAGAGGAATTTTTTGAACAGTTTAGGGTATTTGAATCTCGGGCTCAAATTCGAAATCAGATTTCATATTTCTAAAAGCTGCTTCCGAAAGCCAAATATCACAAAGAAATCATGCTACCAAATATCCAAATACCTTCAACAAACGCAGTGATTTCAACTGCAGCTTCTGTAGCTGCCACGACCATGTTAGTCCGATCCTTTGCCAAAGATTTTGTTCCCCATGAAATCAGACAATATATCCTCACCAAATTTCGCTACTTTCTAGCCACATTCACCAATGAAATCATCGTAGTCATTGATGAATATGAAGGACTAAACAAAAACCAACTCTTTTCTGCTGCTGAAATCTACCTGGGCACCATTTTTAATCCCTCCACCAGAATATTTCGAGCCTCATTGCCCGAAAAGGAGAAGAAAATCCATGTTTCAGTGGAAGGAAATGAAGAACTAAGGGATAAATTTTGTGGGTTCCAACTGAAATGGAGAATGATTATCAGACAAACTCAAGCAAGGTACGTGCCATATCCTGATGAATATTCTTCCACTATACAGTCTGAGTTTCGATATTTCCAGTTAAGTTTTCATAAGAAGTACAAAAACAAGGTTCTTGATGAGTATTTGCCTTATATTGTGGAAAAATCCAAATCCATCAAACAAGAAAGGAAAACATTGAAATTGTTGACTTTGAAGAGTGAGAGGCATGGTCCCAGAGGAAATCCATGGCAGTCTGTGAATCTTGATCATCCAGCCACTTTTGAAACTTTAGCAATGGATACAGAAATCAAGAATATGGTGATTGATGATCTTGAAAGATTTGTGAATAGGAAAGAGTTCTATAGGAAGGTGGGCAAGGCATGGAAGAGGGGATACTTGTTGTTTGGGCCACCAGGAACAGGGAAATCAAGTTTGATTGCTGCCATGGCTAATTATCTGAATTTTGATGTTTATGATTTGGAACTCACTGATATTAGGGGTAATTCTGAGCTGAGGAGACTCATTATTTCAACAGCTAATCGGTCGATACTTGTGGTCGAGGACATAGATGCTTCCATTGATCTATCAGAGAGGGGACAAGCAGCGCCACCACGGCCACTGCCAATGTATCCTTCCCCCTATAATCAAGGAACCAAAGTAAGTTTTCTGATGAAATTTTTGTCAACTTTTTTTTCGAGGCATTACCGACTGCTTTTTCCGTTCATGAGAGTAAAACTAACATTGCTGTTTTGAGTTACTAAGGATCTAGTTACTTTAGATTTTTCATTAAAAATATAAATCGAACCGAGTAAAGCAAAAGTACTCATGTAGCAGAGCCCAGATATATTAGAAACATGGCTTTAAGTATCATCATTTATAATGAGTAGGGTTGTTTCCGGGACACTTTTGGCGAGCTTTATTAGATCAAATAAGGATCAATCAATGGGTCATAATGGACACCATTATGGTGTCCATTATGTCCAAGTAGAATAATCCTAAATCAATTGCAAGTAGAAATTGTATATAAGTGATTAAAAAATCCATTTATAAGTACAAAATTTTTGTACGAGTAGAAAAATTACTTTTGAGTAAAAATTATCTTATAAGTTATAAAAAAAGCTTATATAAGTTGAAAAATCAGTTATGAATTAAAAATAACTTCATAGCTATAATATTTTCTAAAGTAAAAAGTCAAAATGTAAAAAAAAAAAAAAATGCTTCTAAGTAAAAATATTACTAATAACTAAAAAATTCACTTATATAAGATAAAGAAAAATTACTTATAAGTATAAAAGTCACTTATACTTTAAAAAATCCTTTATATGTGAACAAACTACTTATAAGTAGATACAAGATTCCCTTCTTACTATAAAATTTACATATAAGCACAAAAATTTATTTTAAGTAAAAGAATTACTTATAGGATATAAAAATTTTAACTTATAAGTTATAACAAAACTTAATTATAACCTTAAAATTTAATAATAAGTAAGCTATTAAGTTAAAAATTTCTCTTATACGTAAACACATTACTTATAAGTAAACATTTCACTTGTGATTGAAAAATTTTACACAAGACATTACAATTAAAAATTTCACTTAATAAGTTTAAAAAAAAAAAAAAAATCATCATACAAAAAGTATTTTCTTATATTTTTTAATTTTTTATTACTTGTACGGTCTTCTAGTACAGTATAGCACCAAACGCCATATTAGAACTATCCTCCCTGATTCATCTTACTATCCCCTAATCTAATACGGTGCACCAAATGTGCCCTCCAAACATTTAGCGGTATGAATGCAGTTTCTTATGCACTAGGCTTTGAAATAGCTTGATAAAAAGATGATTTTTCTTCTTGTTTCAGCTGCTCAAACCTTGAGATTAGTTCAATATTAACTGAATTGGACATCAGATTTCATGGGAATTCCTGTTGTGTCTTCATATAACTGAAATTTCTTGATGTGTAGTTTCTTCAGAGCTCTAGCACCTGTTTTCTGCAGCGTGTATGGTACAAGGATCTAGAAATGATTGTGTTTTAGATCTCCAAGTAGATATAGCAATAAACACAACGAAGTGATGAAAAATAATTCGCATGTTCAACCCCAAATCAATAGTGAAATAGGCTTAGTTTGTTGTTTGATTCATAGGCTAGTGGAAAAGATTTTTATTTTTTATTTTTTTTTAATTGTGAATGAGATTGAGAGCACTGAACCACTTTGAGTACATTCTGTTTATTCCAGGTTACTTTGTCAGGATTACTAAATTTCATTGATGGATTGTGGTCGAGCTGTGGGGATGAACGGATCATTGTTTTCACGACAAATCACAAAGATAAGCTCGATCCAGCCTTGCTGCGCCCTGGTCGTATGGATGTGCACATTCACATGTCTTATTGCACACCATGTGGGTTCAAAATGCTTGTTTCTACTTATCTTGGTATCACAGAGCACCCACTTATCATGGAAGTCGAGCAAATGATAGGGACAACCAAGGTGACCCCAGCTGAAGTAGGCGAGCAGTTGTTGAAGAGCGATGATCCTGAAGTTGCACTTAGAGGCCTGATTGAATTCCTCGAGAAAAAGAAGGAAAGTGAAGAAGCGAAAGCACTCAAAGAAAATCTTGAAGTAACTAAAGCAGAAGTTTTGCCAAAGCCGGAGGAAGAAAAAGATGGTGCGAGTCGTGATATGAAGGATGTTAAGAGTCTTGAAGGCCTTAAAGAACTTATCGAGATGGTTCAAGCGTCTCCTGCAAATGCAGGAGAGCTGGTAATAAAGAGGGACAAGGCTTCAATTGCACTCAAAGGCCTAATTGAATTCCTTGATGGAAAAAATAGATTCGAAGATATCAAAGCTTCTGAGACAAATTCAGGAGAATCGACATCTGCTAAAGTGCAAGAATCTTGCAAGGAAGTTAAGATTTAGACATCAACGTAATATTTGTTGGAATTTTCTGATGTTGTGTTAACACTGATTGAAGCTTTTACTTTGCTAAAAGATGTGTTAAGACTGTATCTTAACTATAGGCCCAATTGGTTTTTGAGATCATAAACGGATGATTAGGCTTGGTGCACCTTGTGGGTTTGGGGATCATTTCTTGATACAATAAATTAGGAGAAAATGAACTAAAAGCATGTTTTTTAAATTTTAATTTCATTAATCAGACATTAAATTTTTTTATAAAAAAACACAAACTAATAGTTAACATGTTACGTATAAATTAGATCACAATCAAACAACATAACAAGTGATAATTTATGCAATTTATAAGTTACAATCATTTATCAGATCACATTCACATACCACCTAATTTTTAAAATTTTTTAAGTTTATTAATCTCGAAATTGTAGTCATAAACTAGTTATAAAATTTTCTCATAAAAAAGTGTAGGACTTTTGATGGTAGATTTCATATATGTTGGTTATTTCTAGGTCCCTTTTCCTCTCCAAGAAAACTCATAGCTGTTATGCCCATCAATGGCATCATATAGTTTTGAGAATGTATGTGCATCATTGCATATATTCTATTCGTGATAGATCAAAAGGATTTTGCAATTAATACAGAATCGATTGAATAGGTAATTGTCGATTTCTAATTTTTGATTTATTGGGTTCTATTTCAAAGTGAGTTTCAATATTGAATATAGAAAAATTTAACAAGTTATATCAGAGTCAATGAACCATTGATTAGAAACTCTGCATCTATTACCTTCTGATCACAGAGCACCCATTTATTAAAGAAGCTAAGCAAATGGTAGGGACGACCCAAGCTACACTTGCTAAAGCAGTTGATGAAGAGCGAAAATCCTAAAGTTAGGACTGAATGAGTTCCTCGACAAATAGATGGAAGCCAGAGGAAGAAAATCGCGATATTAAGTACGTAAAGAGTCTCGAAGACCTTAAAATTATTTACAGATACGATTAAGTGTCTCGCCATCTCCTGCAAATGCACGAGAACTGCTAATGAAGAGGGGCGACGCTTAAATTGCACTAGAAAATGGTCAAAAGATATCGAAGCTTTTGATACATTCAGGAGAATCGACATGTACACAAGTGCAAGAGTCCCATGTCATTCAACTATTCTTCTATGTTCACTTCTTTATTGTCCCTGTTTGGTATCACTAAAATACTTGATTGAAAAGCTAAGTCAAATTCACGATTAATTTTAACTACACATTTCATAGAATCCGTAACTTTCAAAATCTGATTTTAATATCTACCAAACATAGGCCTTTTTTTTTTTTTTTTTTTTTTTTTTTTTTTTTTTTTTACTTCATATGGTAAAGTAATTATTAGGATGCATCAAGTGAATACAATAACTAGGGAAAAAAAACCCATCTTGACCACACCGTTGACCACTAAATAGACATCGAAATGACTTTGACAGTCATTCCAAATTGATGCATACTTTAGCCAGCCTAAACTTATCTATTCTTAATTTGAAATTACAAACGCGACCAATAGGAAACATCACTATAGTCAATTAACTAACCGCGTTTTTAACCTGTAATTCTACTTTGTCTCAAATCTCAATACCCAAACTCAGTATACACTTCTCAGCATCAAAATGAAGAAAAAGAAGCTTAAATACCACTTTTCCATTATCAAATGTACACAAGCAAACTGATCCCACAGTTAATAGGGTTGTATTCAATTGAGACTTTTAACGACTTTCTGAGTTTTAAAAAATTTAGGAGCATTCAATTGAGACTTGTTAGTGTTATTGGATTGCTGTTTTATCAATGTGATGGTCCAGCCCAACTTACCTGACCCGGTTCAAGCCCAACAGCGAGAAGGATCTGGAATTGGTTGTTAAATGATAAAAAGCGTGTTTTGTGAATTAAAATAGCAACTTACCCCTGATCTGTGACACGTGGTGCAATGTGGACCGTTGGATCTGATTTGCGTGAATCAAATTATTATTGTTACTAGGGTTTAAGATATGAGTCAACACACTTTTCATTTTTCTCTCTCTCACAGCCGTCTCCTTTACCCTTCGTGTTCTCTCTGTAATTTGTAGATTTTCTCTTGTGATCTGTTTGTAGATCTTTGAGTGAGAGTTAATTTTTGAACTCTTGTGTGAGTTCGTTTATATACTGAGAGATTTGTGGTGCTGTGATTGGAACTTTGTGTTCCGGTGTGTTCTTGATACATTTGCTGTATTTGGCCGTTTGATTTAGTGGATTCGAGCTTATTCCCTTGTGGATGCTCAACGGGGATTAGGCGATCTAACCAATCGCTGAACCTCGGGGCTTCGGCCGAAAAATCGCTTTGTGTTCTTACTGCTTTAAGTTCAGATTTACATTTTTGATCTTAGTCCTTTGCGATTTTTGTTGTTTCGAAAACGATCCTTGTTCCTACAGTGGTATCAGAGCTCTGTTTGAAATTTTTGTTTGGTTTTTCAAACTTTTAGTTACGGGTTTGAAAACCCTAATCGCCGGCCAAAGATAAAACGGCAGATCTTCAAGATCTGCCAACATTTCCTGTTGAGGAATATTCGACTTAGTGTTCGATCGAAGTTTGACACTATTTAGTGCACTTCTACACCTTCGAGTTTTGGTGTTGATCTCTTCTGAAAAAAAATTTTTACTCCCCCTGTTTCTGTTTTAAAATTGTTTTAACAAAAATTATATATTTTCTTGTGGTTATTGCTGGTTCAAAAACCGTGTAAATCCCTTGGTCTCCCTTCTGAAATCTACAGTTCTTTGTGTTCCGTAGTAAGGGGTTGTGATCTTGTTGAAAGAAGTACATGTTCCTGATGTTCTTGGTTACTGCAGTGTATTATAATCCTTGAGTATTGCATAACCTGATTGTTGATACATATAATTTTTAAAAGGGGGTCTTGTTTCTGGAAATAAAATTTTTCAAAACCTTGGGTTTCACTGAACCTCCCCTAACTCTACCTCTATCTAGGGTTCCCTGAGAGAAGCCTAGAAACTCTGGGGACTAGGGCTTCGGTTCAGGAAACCTGTAAAATTTCAAAAAAAAAAAAAAAAAAACTGTTTGAATTTTCTCACTGTGTGTGTGAAAAATAGATCCCTAATTATATTTCCTTAATCAAATAGTTGTACATTCTGTGTGAATTGTACTAATACTCAAGTTGTTTTCTCAGGTGTTAAATTCCTGAGTTTAATTGCAATCAAGGTACATACATCGCATATACTATACTTTATAGCTTACTGTGTGTAAGTTTGTGCTTCTATATTCCATTGCATGTTTAGTGAATTGTATACTAATTGTGCATTAAATTGTGTGTTATATTTACTGTACATATCACACTTATGCACTAACTGGAAATCAGAAATTGGAATAAGACAATGACCTTTTGTGATAGACTGTTGACTTAATAAATACAATGATACACCTCTGTTATCATAATTTGTAGATATTTTACACTAGTAAATATCATGAACTCTAAGGTAGATGTCCAAGTTTGGGATGGCAAAGGAGACTTTAGTCTCTGGCGTCAGAAAATAAAAGCACTTATGTTACAGTTGAAATGTGCTAAAGCTATTGATGAATCTTGGCCAGAAACCATGGCTGAGGCCAGGAAAACTGAACAAGATGAATTAGCTTGGAGCACTTTGTTCCTACACTTATCTGACAATGTGATTAGGAAAGTAGGAGATACTAAAACAGCTGTAGAATTGTGGACTGCCTTAGAAAAACACTACCTTACTAAAACTGTCCCAAACAAATGTTTTCTTTGGAGACAGTTCTTTAGCTTTAAGTTTGATCCTAACCTTGATATACGAGACAATATGGATAGGTTTAATAGGATCACACAAGATTTGGCTAATTGTGATGAGAAGACCTCTGATGAACAGATTGTAGTTGGTCTACTAAATGCTCTAGGAGACAAATATAAAGATATCAGAAATGCTCTAGAGTATGGTAGGAGTGATCTTACTATTGAAATAATTCACAGTTCACTACTGAATAAAGAACTGGAATTAAAATCTGAACATAAGGATGTATACCATGTTGAGGGTGTTTCATCAAATCAAAAACTAAATGTTAAAGGTGTAAGCAACTTCAGTCATTCCAATTTTAATAAGAACAAAAATTTTAACAAAAAGTAATGGAATAACACCAAAGGAAAAGGGAAGAAACTAGTTAAAGGAAAAGCGAACAGCAATAACAGAAAATATTTTTATTGTGGTAAAACAGGCTATTTTATTAAAGACTGCTTTAAAAGGGCTAATGACCAAAAGAATGGGTTTAATACAGAAAATGCTACCTTAGCTGCTGCTAATTATAAAGAAGCAGGAGCTAATATATGAGTAGCCTGTGTGTCTTTATCTGCAAATACTGATCAGGACTGGGTCCTGAATTCAGGATGCTCCTTCCATATGACACCAAATATAAGCTGTATTTCAGACTTTAGTAGTCTGGATGGGGGATTTGTAAAACTTGGAAATGATGAGTCATGCTAAGTAAAAGGAATTGAAAATGTGCTGTTGAAATTTAAAAACTGTCATCTTATGTTACTAAAACATACTAGATATGTTCCAGCTCTTAGAAGAAATCTCATATCCCTAGGAGTTCTTGATGATGAAAATTACCAAATTGGTATTAAAAATGGGTATACAAGTATAACAAGAAATCAAGAATTCATTGTCAGTTCACCTAAACTTAATGGGATATATATAATAGGTGCTGAAATAATTCCACCAAAAAATTCTGTGAATTTTGTCACAAATTCCGATAAATCAGAACTGTGGCATAAAAGACTTGGCCACTTAAGTGAAAAAGGTTTAAAAACTCTATCATATCAAGGGGCATTTGGGAATGACAGTGTTCAAAAATTAACTTTCTGTGAACACTGCATTATGGGAAAACAAGTCAGACTGCCTTTTAAGGCAGGACTACACAAAACCCAAGATGTCCTTGAATACATACACTCTGATTTATGGGGACCAGCACCAGTTTCTACTGTATCTGGTTACAGATACTATCTTCTTACAACTGATGATTACTCAAGAAAAACATGGATTTTCTTACTAAAATCAAAGTCTATACTTTTACAATTTTCAAAGAATGGAATG